CTTCAATTTTACCCTGCAAAATGCATTGGAGTAGCTCGTATCTGCCTTGATTTCTCATTATATGTCCCAAGTACTTCAGCTTACGGCTCTTTACAATGTTGGCCAAATCCGCGGTTGTGTTCATCCTCCGCAGTACTTCTTCATTGGTGACTTTCTCTGTTCATGGTATCTTCAGGATTCTTCTGTATAACCATAATTCAAAGGCGTGAAGTTTTGATAGAGTTTCCGCCTTTAATGTCCACGTTTCTACTCCATACAGGAGCACTGAGTACACGTAACATTTAAGGAGCCTTATTTTTGTGTTCAGGGTGAGGTCATGGCTTTTAAACACAGAGCTCATAGCCAAGAATGCACTTTTGGCCTTTCCGATGCAACATTTAATCTCTTGGGTATTGTCCCACAACTCATTGATTATAGTTCCCAAGTAATTGTATTGTGAGACACGTTCAATTCTCATTTGGTTCACATACAGATTTGCTCCAGTTATGTTTTGCTTGCTGATGATCATTAGCTTGGTTTTGCTAGTGTTTATATCCAGCCCATAGGTTCTACTTGTTTCTGTTATTTTGTTCATTAAGTTTTGCAGCCCTTCTATAGTATTGGAAAACACTATTGTATCACCTGCATACCGCAGGTTATTCAGCTCGACTCCACTCCAATAAGGGCATAAATAAGCATAAATAATTATATAAGGAGATCAGCCAGAGCACCAGCTTTAAATGTAAATAATTGTAGAAGTAGATTACAATTTGCCAGAAAGCACCTTGACTGGAATGTTGATGACTGTAGATATTTTCGATCGTTTTGATTATTCCTAGAGGTATCTCACCTGCGTACAGTAAGTGGATAACGTCTTTTAATTTGACCCGGCCTTTGTAAGTGTCCACGAAACATAGATATGCCGGTTTGTTGTATTCTAATGATTGGCCTCATTATAAATATAGCGTCGGTGTATGATCTTCCCGACCTAAAACCTTGTTTTTCTTCTGCTAGTGTTATTTAATTCAATTTAATTTATTTATTATCACTTTGGTTGTTAATTTTAGTATTGTTCTGAAGTTATTTTCTTGTGGCATTTTAAATATTTCTTATTTAAAATGCTTATTTATTCCTTATTTAATTCCCAGTTAAATAGTAGTTAATTTTAGTGTTGTGATTAATAAATTAATTCCTTTTTTGAAGAGAGGTATTAGAATGCTTGATCTCCATTCTTGATGAATTTTGTTTTGTTCTATTATTTTTTGGATTAGTTTTAATAGTTGTTTGGTTAGTTCTGGTCCTCCGTACTTTAGGAGTTCGTTCGGTATTCTGTTCTCTCCTGGTGATTTTCTGTTTCTTAATTTCCTTAATGCTTCCTTTTCCTCTTACTCCTCAATATTTATTTCTTCGTTTGTCGTTACGTTGGTGTTGGTGGTTCATTGTTGTCACCTTTACCAAATAGGGATCGAAAGTAGTCTACTCATGTTTCCTTCTGAATGTGTTTCATTTTTATTAGTTCCTTTATCTCTTTTCTTTGTCCTCTGATCATTCTCAATATTTCTTTTTTTGTTACGTAGAAGTTGTGTACCATCTGTCTTGAAAAACTCTATCAGTGTTCCTTTTCTATTTGTCTAACTAAATTATTCGTTTCATTTCTGATTCGTTTGTAGTGGTTGTATGCCTGTTGTGTTTGTTGTGTTCTGTATTGTTAAAATGCCTTCTTCTTTTCTTCACATCTTGTCTTCACTTCCTTTTTATACCAAGGTGTTTTCGTTTTTGATATGTTAGTGTTCGTTACTTTCCTTTCTCCAAGTGATTCTGTTGCTGCGTTAATTATGTTTTTTTTTGAGTTTTTCCCAGCTTTCCTCGATGTTATCGTTTTCTTATATTAATTTCTTCTTTTTTGGAAGTATTTCAGAATTATTCTTATTTTACATAATACTAGGCTGTGATCGCTACCTACATCTGCTGAGTTGAAGCATCTTACGTCGATTATTTTTGATGAATGTAGGTATATTTCTGTTGGTTATAACATAATCTATCATAGATCTTTGTCCATGGGTGTTATTAAATGTATATTTAATATCATGTGTTAGTAATATGAATGAACTCTGAACTGTGTTATTGTTTTATTGAGATTTAGGCATAGCTTCTAAAATTAAGTATGTGTTTGTAATACGGTTAGTTATCCCCATCCTGTTATAGCCTTACTGTCTAAGTTCTTCTTATAGGTAATCATAGGTGACATTGATAGGCACCCATGGATAGTAGTTCAGTAGGCCTTAATTTGGTATTTTTATTCCAACAGATGCACTAGACCAAATCCATTAATATTACACCCACTCACTACTTTTATTGCTTAGAAAAAATTAGTAAAATAGTTAATACATTATATTTAAAATATTCTCGGAGTTAAAGCGGAATTATATCAGTATCTTCTTAATTTAGAATAATTCTCTCATCCATTTCAACAATTCAATTATTTGATAACATATCTAATCTATCAATCTATTAATCATCATACTTAACAACATAGATACATATTAACTTTAAAGTGATGCAACTATAGTGGTATTCCAGATTTTTTTTTAAACTGTTATTTTGTAAGTAGGTACCTATTTTCTAAACAACCTATTTTTATCGTTATTTATTTTAAAATTTGTCACATTATGTGTATGTGTGTTTGTGTGTGTTTGCATGCTGTTGTTTTTTTGACTGTATACTTAATCCAGTAGCCGATTGTCATATAGTGTGTATACTGGCTTTTATTATTTTATTAATAATTTAATGTTTTACTTTACTTTTTCCTGAGAGTATAACCATTAAGATATTATCCGTGTTAAGATACAGTATATAACAAATCATATCCTTTAATATTCATCATATCAAATACTTATTTCAGTCCAGATATTCAAATTGAAAAAGTTTTCATAGAAATTCAAAATGTAAATTTATAAAAAAATGTATCTGAATGTAAGAACTATTTCATAATTTATGTGTAACGCTAAAGTACTTTCTTCTTCTTCTTCCTTCTAGTATGTAGGCTTTAAAGCCTGTTTCTTCTTCAATATTAGCCTTCTTAATTGTTTAAATTGTCGCACCATCTTTTTTTTGGTCTGCCAATACTTCTTCGTCCATTTGGTGACTTATTCCATACTATTCGTACTATTCTATCCTCTGCCGTTCTACTGATATGTTCGTTCCACTCCTGTTTTCGTTTTGTCACCCATCCATTTATGTCTTCTAAATTGCATGCTCTTCTTATGTTTTCGCTTTTCTCCCTATCCAACAGACTGCTCTCTGATATTCGTCGGATTATTTTCATCTCTATTGTTTCTAGCAGTCGTGTCGTTTTAGATGTGTCAAGTCTTGTCTCCGCCGTGTATGTTAATATAGGTCTAGTTGCTTCTTTATAGATTCTTGTTTTTGTGTCTTGTCTTAGATGTTTGTTCTTCCAGATTGTGTCATTAGGAGAACCCACCGCTTTACTTGCTTTTAAGCTTTGTTGTCGTACTTCTTCTTTAACATCTCCGTAACTAGATATATCTATTCCCAGATAGCTAAACCTTGCTTCCTGCTTTATTATTTTTCCATCAATTTCGATTTTACACCGTAGTGAGTATTTAGCTGTTGTCATAAATTTGGTTTTTTCTGCTAATATTAGC